CGCTGGGCAGTGTTCTGCACTGCATCCTCGCCCTCTGTTAGACAGGAGACAATTCCGTTACACGAGTGACTTACCCGTCCCTGAATTCCCTCCTCACCAAAGCTCCTCTTTCTCTTTTCAGGGCCCACTTGGTCTCCAGGGCCCGATCGGAGCCCCGGGTGTCAGAGGGTTCCAGGTCAGTATGCCGACGAGGGGAACTGAACGCATGTGGTGTTTTGGCAGGACACTGCAAACCTCCGGCGAGACAACAGCGTGATGGCAACAAGGGATCAGGAGAAACGCCCTTCCCTTCCCCAGAACCCCTCTGACACCTTTATTAACTCCCTACAGCAGAAAGAGCGCAGAGCTGCCTGCTGGAACGGTTTATATTTAGTGTTTGTTTGCAAAGGAAGGGTTTGACTTTGACCTGCACAAAGACACCTGAACTTCTCCTCGTGCTCCCTCCCAGCCCGTACGGCTTCAGTGGGCTCCTTTTCCCTTCGGTGGCTCTGATATTTCCTCCTCCCGTCTCCCACAGCCACTCTCCCTTCCCCATGGAACTGGCTGAGCCAGCGTATGGTGCTGTCCGCTGGGAGCATCACCGGCGTCACTGGTGTGACTTTGTCAGTGAAAGCCCCAGCCAAGGCTGGAGCACTGGGCAGGGTGGCTGGCCTCGGGCATGACACGGGGCAGAATTCGGGGTGAGCTGTGCCAACCCATGCCAGCGGTCCCTGGTCCTGGGGGAGAAAGGGGAGAGGGGTTCTAAGACAAAATGACCTTTTGGAACACGTTATGGTGGACTTTGGGGACGTCAGGACGTGCACTGGAAACTGCAGCTTGGGGGTTTTTTTGGTTTTTTTCCTCACAGGGTCCCAAAGGTGCCAGTGGTGAACCTGGGCTTCCCGGTCCGACGGGAATTCGTGGAGAGACAGGTGACAGGGTAAGGGGAAGACGCCTGTAGCTAATTCCTGTTTGGGAGAGATGACATTAGCGCGTAACAGGGTCCCCAAACACGGCGTGGCTGGTGCCACCCCAACAGCCACAGGCAGGTTTGGCACAAGGTGGGCACCTCGGGTGTCCCCATCCATCCCCTGAGGCTGGGGCGTGCCCAGGACAGACCCGACGTGGGCAGCAGGATTCCTGCATCCTCCCTTTTCTGCTCCCGTCCTTGTTTCTGGGTCAGTTCAGGAACTCCCACTATTTTTAGGCAGGGTGGATTGTTTAAAAAACACTTTGGGATGCTGTCCTAGCCAGAAGAGGGGATTGGTTTGGGATTTTCCCTGCTCTGTATGCTGATTTCACCAAAGCCTTGCTCCCCATGAGCGCAGGAGAGCTGATTCCTGCGTTTTTCTTACTCAAGATGCTTGGTGAGGTTTTCTGGATTTTTTTTTAAATTACAGTTTGCTCGGTGATTTTCTTTCTGAACAGCAACACACCTGGGCCCCACACCTCGGGATAAATGCAGCTTTTTATTTAAATGAATTCATTCTCATTTAAAAGAAGCCAGCAGGGCAAAGTGAAGGACAGGAAAACAGGAGCCGTGTGTTTGCCGGCTCCCTCGACGCCAGCTCTAAGGTGAAGTTTCTGTGTCAGCAATCGCAGCGGCACCACGGGGGCTTCACAATGGCCCGTCTGTGCCGGCTCCGGGCAGGTTTCAAAAAGCCTCTTAGAGGGACTGGGAGCTTGGAAGTTAGAACAGGAGGGTTATTGTGGACCTGCAGCATCCTGACTGCATTCAGGGCTTCATTGCGGTGAAAAAACGTGTGTTCAGAGGGGAAGAGGCCCCTGCGCAGAGCCAGCCGGGTGTCCAGAGAGCTGCTCCGAGCCCAGGGAGGGAAAACGTTATGCTTAACGAAAAAAAAAAAAAAAAATATATATATAGGTTTTAATTCTGGCTCTGAAGTGTAGTTACTCTAACATGAAATCGTTGATTGTTTCTTGGAGACTTTCCACCTCTATATATGCAATGAGCCATTTCCCCCTGTCCCCCAGCCCCACTGGTGACGGTGACGGCCGCGTGCGCCCACGGTCCTCCTCTGGGCGGGCAGCAGCGAGGGCTGCACCAGCAACCAGCACCGCGCATTGCCACGCTTACACTGGGGACAAGATCTGGGCTGCGAAGACCCTGAAACCTCAGACCGTGTCGTTGTAGCTTCAACAAGCGGCCTTTGCTGCTGGGGGGATGGCATCTGCCAGGGGTGGACAAACCAGCGCGGCAGATACCGCCTGGGGTTTGCTTTGCCCAGCCTGCTGCTGGTCCCAGCATGTGCCAGGAGGAGAACTGGAGATACAGGAGCAATGCAATTACACTATCCCAGCTGCAGCTCACCCATCGTGCTCTCCTGAAATCAGCCGTGGCTTTTTTTTCATTGCAAAAAAAAAAAAAAAAAATTCCTGCAAGCCTGAGTTAAGAGGTAGTGAGATGCTTTTTCACAGTCCTTGGACTGACTGTGGCCAGGAATATAAACCAGTGTATCAGTCAGTGTATTCTCTGGCATGAAAAATAGAAGAGGTTTAATGCATTTGCCCATAAGATACAGAATAGCATTGAGATGACCTATAAACCATCTTGTTAGAGTGGGATATTGGGGAGAGGAAGGATTTGTCTGTTACTACTGACTGTGGTGGTGACAGGTAAATATTCTTCCTAAGTGTTTTTATTAAGATCAAATTCCTGGGGATTCTGAATGCTGGCAGCCGTCTGGGACAGTGTCTCTGTCAGCTCTTGGCATCGCTGGATGCTTGGCAAACAATGTTGTGTTTAGAGCTGATAGAGTGAGACAAACGTGAGGACGGCTGATGGATTGGTGGTCCCAAAGTCCTGTCACTTGTTCCTGCTGCTTG